CAAATGCATTTTATATCTGCATATTAAGTGAAAAAAAATTGCTCAGGCAACTAAAACTTTTCACTGAAAGAAATTTACAAGGAATACATATTGAAGGCAAGAGAAAGAACAGGTCCTAAACAGAAGCTAGCATTTTCAAACATAATAACTATAAATTTTATTGCTCAGTCAGTACCTTGAGAAAATAGCTAAGAACTTATAGGATAAATTACTATTTAAAATTAGTATATTTAAAAAACTAAATTATCTCTAGAATTTTCTATTGCAGCTGATAAGCAAGTAAATATATAAAAGCTATTTGTATTGTTGAGAATTTTGACTTGACTAAATTTTTTGGAAATGCTGCTTAAAATGGTACATCATTAGGAAGTGACTTATTTTTGTGTATGGAGAAGAATTTTGAGAATTTTAATGTTGACTTATCAGAATTGATAACCATGACTAACTGACTTCTACTGGGATCAATATTAACTTCAGACTTATGCAACATAAACACTATGTGACAAGACTTTAGGCAATTTATTGTACTATTAACTAGAAATGACTTTGAGCTCAAAACCTAAAAACTACATAAATAATAGCCATGGTAATTAAACATGCCTCACACACAGTTCATATTCCAAGTAGGTGTAGTGGATGCTGAGGGAATTTTGAACTGCCGAGAGATAATCATTTTCTAAGCTTTCCATGGAAGTTCTCTCTGAAATTTGTATTGAGGAATAGATTGCCTCTAGGGGGTGCGCATGTACCACTTATATTCCTTTTCCCATAAACCATTTCCCATAAAATGGGTAGTACAAAGCACTGTTATAAAATAAACACATGTTCTTGGATCTATCTGTTTTCTGTTCATCTTTTAAAAAACATATACTTAAAGATTACATTTATTTTGTAAAGGGAATGAAAATTTTCTAAGTGGAAGAAACCAAAGAAAAAAGTACAGTTTTATAGTTAGGGATAATGCAAATAAAAGCAGCATAATTAAAAGGCACATGTATCTAAATTAAAATAAAACTCACAATTCACTTTAAGCTGAGTAATTATTTAAAATCATGAATGACTCTTGGTTATAGGCCATTATTCTACACTACTTCCCTCCTCCCCCAACAAATGTTAACTAAACACCTAGTATGTGGCAGGAATAAGAAAACATCCTTCCTTTGGGAAGTTTATAGTCTAATAGAGAAAACAGTCATGTAAATGTAAAGCATAATGCAACACTAAGTGCTATAATAAAGATTTGAAAAATATGCTTTAAGAGTTGAGAAACGATTATATTAACTATGGTGAGAGGAATTGTCACAGAGGAGGAGATAATTCCTGTTTGTTGGACTCTTTTATCCGAAGTAGGCCTCCCCAGTATTTCTGTTGACAGATTTCAGTCCTAAGATGTGTGTTCTGTTTCTCTGCTACTGCTCTATAGACCGACTGGCAGCCACAGGGTCATGTTCGGATGTTTATACACAAGAATCTTAGCACTAGTTTTCCTAGTCTTTTCTCACCCAATTCTGGGGTCTTTTCTCACCCAGACAATTAGTTTAGTTGAGTGAGGCAATAGGGTGTAAAAAAGTGAGCCTCTAAACATTTTTGAGAAGTGAAAAATAGTCCTGTAGGAAGTCAGCTGCATTGTCATTGGAAATTACTGGAACCCAAGTCAGCATGACATTAGTATGCTTAACTGACTAGTGAGTTATTGATTCCTATGGCACAGAAAGCTTTATTTTACCTGTGTTTTTTAAGTAAATCTAGATTGTGAGAGTATGCTGGTTTATGGGAAAAGAAACTCTCTTATGTCCCATAGATGGGGTTGTGTGGTTCTCTATAGACATGATTAAGCACATGCATTTGGATGGGCTAGATGAGTACTTGGGAAAAAGAAGAGATTATAAAAAGCAGTTCTTGTTGTAGGATTTGCTCTTCTGGACTCCCCCCAGAGCAGTTTTGAGAGGGGGATTGCCTGTTGGGAGATTACATCACAAAACTGTAATTCTCAGGTGCCCTCATTGACAATTTAATGAGAATGTGGTTATAAGCAATGCGAGTCTAGACAAGGTTTGGTACTTTTTAAAGCATCAGCTATTTTTTAAATGAAACAGAAGAGATAAAATCTAAAGACATGGTTTGATTTAGATGCCAATACTTCTCTATCTCCAGTATAAGTGCCCAAGAGTGGGCATATGGGTGGGGGATGGTGGTGGTGAAAGAAGCAACACCTTCATGTGGATTTTAAAACACCAGGAAGCCAAGGGCAAAACAAATAACAAATTTAGATGAATGCTTAGGTATTTTATGAGTACTTTTTGTGAAGCTGTATTTTTAACTTTTTTTCAGAGAAAATTATGGGAAAACATACACAAGATTTTAGCATTTTTATGAAGATAGGATCATTTGTTAGTCAAAGTTAGGAGGAAACCGAAAGAATTCCAGATTGTTCTGTCAGGATTTTGGAATAATACAATGATAGATGAAACTTAAACTCAGCACAAGCAAGGTAATGCTGCAGAAGCTGAGATTTTCAATAACTATGTTTATACATTGTGACAGCTTATAAATTAAATCCTAGAACTCTTAGGAAATACACCCAGCCATCACCAGGGATAATATAATAGAGGTGATTGCTCTATAAAAAGGGGAGTTTGAACCTGATGCTATATGGAAATGGAAAAGGAAGTAAATTTGAAAGCAGAATTTTTCTGAATATTTGGTGAGTTTGTATGTCCTGCAATCGGAAAACAAAAGCAAAACAACATCAGAAGTTGCTATGAAATATAAGTGGGTTGGGTAAATGCTGGTAAGAGTGTAGGTGCAAATTTTATAGAATGTAGATTCAAATAAAAATAAATCTATTGCTTTTCAAGTTCTTTGTATAATTAATTAATGTGGAACATTATTTACTTATTTTTAAAAATATATTTTTATTGATTTCAGAGAGGAAGGGAAAGGGAGAGAGAGAGAGATAGAAACATGAATGATGAGAGAGAATCATTGATTGGCTGCCTCCTGCACGCCCCACACTGGGGATAGAGCCCAAAATTCTAGCATGTGCCTTGACCCAGAATTGAACCATGACCTCCTGGTGCATAGGTCAGTGCTCAACCACTGAGCCACGCTGGCCTGGCTAGAATATTATTTAAAAGAGACAAGCTGACCTGATTACTCCAGGAAAAAAAAATGAGAAAAGTCAAAAGTATTTTGTAAAATTTATTACCGTGGGAATTTTAAGAGGCCTTGAGACAATTCCAAACTCAAAAACAAAAAAACGAGACATTTCAATGCAGTCATGAACGATCATGGAGAACTCATTAAATTCCTGCTGGTCTCTATCTCCCTCTCTGTATTGAATAGTCAACACATGGTTTCTTAAATGGCTTTTGACTACAAACTAGTTTTCTTTTGTCTGAAATTATGTTTAATATGAACTAAGGTTGAAGAAATTTCCTCATCCATTTTCTTAAGTATTCAATAGCATTGCTTTGTGGCTTACATATTATCTTCTACTCTTCCTCTGACTCAATGTATTGATCTCCTTATCCCAGGCAGAGGAGAGCCCCTGACATTTTCATAATATTGAGAGAGCTGTGAACATTGGTCCACCTTTTAAGGGTTTTTCCTACTTAAATTTTTTAAAAATGTATTACCATATGATGGCAATAGCAAATGTGTTTCCTTCTCTGGATGAATAGGGCTAATCCCTGCCTTGAAGAATGAGAGTATTATTCACCATTCAGATCAATACATTTGTTCTTTTTTTCTTTTCATTTATAATCTGCTAGAGCCTAACTAGAAAAGAAAGATTTAATTATTTTTAGAGTCTTAAACTAAAGAAATCACTGCTGGCTTCCAATACAACCTTTAAACAAAATGAAGTGAGTCTCAGAAATAATAAAAATCAGCCACTCTGACAGAGGTTGAATACCAAGGGGATTTTCGGCGATAGGCATCAGATCAACATACACCCCCAGGATTCTTCAGCAGAACATTGTAACAGGTCATTTCTTCGTTTATGTGCAAGATTTCCAGGATGCCCTGGGAAAATTAACCCTCCTTTCAACCAATTAGGCTTTGAAGTCTGAAACGGAAAGCAGCAGGGTCTATTTTCACGACTAAAAGGCCTATTTCTAGACACCCGGAGGGGTAGTCAGAAAGGGTTTAAGGCTCCCCCTGCCCCCCAACTCCTCGGTGCTAGGACCTGAAGGCATCTTTCCCTCGCCCCTTTTCTTCTTTTTCTGGGGTTCCACCACTACCCCATTCGGGTCTCTCTCCTTTTCCATCATTGCTTTCTCCCATAAGTGGTCAAAATAGGAAACGGAAGTATCTATTTGTTGCTTGGTGTAGTGCTTGAAAATGCTTTTTTTAATTTAGGGGGCGGGGGGGGGGGAATTCCTCTCCAGGTTCTTAATTTTGCAGCGAGTCCGAGCGCCCGCAGGTTCCCTAGACCTCCCCCACCCGCGGGCCGTTCACTGCTGAGAGCAGGTGCAGGTGTGTCGGAGGGGGTCTGAGCCTTCCACGGCCAAGATCCGTGGGCCAGCCCGCTAGGGATCCCGGGGAGGGGGCGGGAAGCGCCACCCCCCTCCCCGGGGCGGGGGCTGGCTGCAGTAGACGAAAAAGCCCCCCGGCCAGAGGGGGGATACCCGACC